CTGTTGGGACCACACAACTTTCCTGTCTCCTGACCTGGATAAAATCTATAACTCCCACCTTATGAATTCTGTCAAGTGGCCCTTTGTTATTTACTATTGTGTAATTCAAACTGGAGATGATTGTAGTATTTTCATTTGAAACTTGGAGGCTATCTTTCAGAAGTCTGAGGTTTTCCGCCACTTTTCCTGGTAATTAAGGGGTAAGCAGAGACTCATCCTTCATCTGCAGCAGAGTCACCCTCCCTCACATACTCATAGCCAGCACGCCCCAGCCGGGCTGAGAACAGCTCTGGCACAGCCTTCCTTGTTTTTCAGCTGTTTGAGACAGGGCTTCACTACGTAGCTCACCGTAGCTCACCGTGGCTGAGTTCACAAGCTTACCTTGTCCAGTTTAGGACACAATTTAGAATATGATCAACTATAAAAGGCTTCAGTATCCAAAACCCATCAAAGACTGTTTTCCAAACAGCAGACTCCCAGAGCGCTTGGTTACAGAATCATGTTTATGGGTGGGTCTTTTATGATCGCCTTTGCAAATGAAGACAGGTGTGAAGTATGAATTTCAAAGGATCAACTTTTTGAGACTGGTTTCGTGGAGTTTAAGCTGGCCTTGGACTTGCTAGGTGGCCGAGCATGACCTTGAACTTCTGACCCTCCCCTGCCTCTACTTTCTAAACACTGGGATTAGTAGGTTTTTGTTTGTTTTTCCGACTCAGGTTTTCTCTTTGTAGCCCTGTCTATTTTGGAGCTAGCACTGTAGACCAGGCTGGCCTCAAACTCACAGCGATCTTCCAGCCTCTGCTCTCAAGTACTGGGATCAAAGGCGTGAGTCACCCACCATGCCCGGCTAGGATTACAGTTTTATAGCTGTCGGCCACCATTTGTGGCTCATGAAATGGTGAGGATCTCGTAGGAAAGCACCCTCCTATGTCTCCCCCTTCTCCCGCACCATTTGAGGCAGGATCTCATACAGTACTTCATGATGGTTTAGAAGGCACGATGTAGCCCAAGGTAGTCTTGAACTCACGGTAATCCTTCTGCCTCAACTTCCTCAGTGCTGAGATTATCGGCATGAACCACCATGACCAGTTTATTTTCACCCAGTGGAATCCTTGTGTCTGTAGCAAAAAAAATGAGACGACTCTATAGGAGATAACAGTTTTCAGAACCTCGTGCTGAAACTGAAAGCTGTGGGCTGACCAATTTGGTATCTCTAGCTATGCAGCAATCAGGCAGACATATGCAGCAATCAGGTAGCTGTGTAGCTATATCAAATACAGAGCAAGCTGTGAAGTATTACAAAAGAAAAAAGTCAGTCTGAAGCACACCAAACCTCTAGAACTAAACTTCCCTTGCAGGCATGCTAACAGAAACAGGAAGTGGAGTCCATGACACCACAAGGAAGCAGGCAAGCCCAGAATGCTGCCATTGCACAGAGAACTGGCTTCTAAAACCAGCAAGGGACTGGAAAATGCAGGGCAGATTGTCATCAATGGAGAGAGTGGTCCCTGCAACACCCAGCTGCATGTGGACTCCTTGTCTGAGCCTGGATCAAAACAAATCAATTAAATAATATTTTGGAGATAGGAGAATTTGGTTACAGTCTAACATGAGGAATATGTTTCTTTGTTTTGAGTGGCAGTGGTATCCTGGCTACACAGAAGGATTTCCTCTTTTTGGAAGGAGATCTACATTGCAGTCTGAGACGGTGGTGAAACATGTCTACGATTTTTTAAAAATTACTTTAGCAAATAAAAGACAAAAGATACAAGGAAGAAAAAGTGTTTTGATACACCATTTTGTCAAAACAAGGAAAGTCAGCTCAGTGGTTCACAGTGACTTCTGTGTGACCCTGACAATCCAAGTCGAATCCCAGGAGCCTACAGTGGAGGAGAGAACCCACTCCTGGACGTGTCCTCTGACAATGCACACAGACAAGCTCCTTAGTCCCCCTCCCAATCTCTGTCTGACACTCCCTCCCCTTCTCTTCTGTTTCTGTTCCCCTGTATCTCTCTCTTCCCTGCTCTCTCTCTCTCTCTCTCTCTCTCTCTCTCTCTCTCTCTCACACACACACACACACACACACACACACACACACATACACACTTAATGAGAAGGGGTAAGAATATAGTTTGATTTTTTTTTGTATGTTTCCAGAGACTTGAGGAAAGTAGGAATCTAAAGAATTGCAATTCATTCAAGGTTCCTAATGTAAGTTTTTCATGTTCCTGTAACCTTTTACCCATTTGAACATGTAACTGGCCTGGATGTTCTTTGTTCTTCAGTTGTTTACATATTTGAAAGATGCTGAGGCCTTCAAGAGATGAAGCCAAGGGGAAATTGAATGGGTCTCAGGGAGGACACCATTCTTAGAGGGGTGGAAAGTAGTTGTTACAGACGGGAGTTAGTTCCTGAGAGATGGCTGTTGCCCAGTGAGCAAGCCAGCCTCCTCACCTGACTTGCCGCTTCACCACGTGATCTCTCCCTCGGGCACCCCTGCCCTTCTCCGCGAGGTCATCCCAGAGCTGAACCAATATTGATGCCGTGACTTTGAGCCTCTAAAACTGTCCTAGATAAAACTCTTTTCTTACATTACTTCATCTGAATATCATTACAATAGAAAATGAACTAGGGCCTGGGAGATGGCTTAGTGGGTAAAGGTACCACCAAGCCGAAAGGTCCGAGTTTGATACCTGGGACCCACATGGAGGAAGGAGAGAACTGGCTCCAACCAGTTGTCCTGGAACCTTCATGTTAGCACTCTGTACCAAAAGAATAAGTGAATCAAAATGAAAACAATAACCAAAAGAAAATGAATTAAATTTTACTTGTTTTTCTTTAAAAAATTAATAACTCAGTAAAAGTATTTAGGCAATACTCATATGTTTAGGCAAAAATGCCCCCAAGGACTGTAATTTTGATTAGAAAATTTCAGTTTCTGTTCTGTGGAAACTATAACCTGTCTCCACAGAGGGCTTTATTGTCTTTCTGGTTTTTTTCCCCTCTCATGTTGTTTATTGCTAAACATAGTCATTTATGATGCTGATCTTGTGTTTTAACATAACAAAAAACTCATTAAGAGGTTAAAAAATTAACATGAAAAAATTCAGAAATGAGTCTCTTATTCACAAATAGAAAAAGGGGTAGGTGGATGGGGGACCTTTGCAGACTTTTTCATGGCTGCCTTTAATAAATTATATATATATCTCAAATTGGTGTTTTACAGAACTGCTCACAGAAATGGGCATGAGGGACCGTATGTACAATGCTAGATCTTAGGTAGCATCCTCACGGAGGATGAGAAGTTTGAGGCCAACCTGTCCTGGGCTACGCAGAGAGTTCTAGGTCAGCCTCGATTACATCAGACCTCCTGTCAAACAAAACAAAGCCAAGAAAGAAAAAGCAAGGCAGTAAAAGTTTTTCTCGGTTCTAGGGACTGCCACCGAATGGACGACACAGAACTGCAAGCTGGCGCTTTGGGGATCTTCCCCCAAGACCTTTGCAGAGTAAATATGGCTGGCCTTCAGCCCCAGGTTTAACCCTCTCTCCACTATACAGGAATACTTCCCGCAAGTTGCTAGTAGTGGTCCAGGTAAAGACATTAAATTCATGCAGCATAGTTTATAGTGCAAGTCTAGGACTCAGGGGGCTGATCTTACTCTACACTCTAAACACATACCTAGGGACTAGTCATTCTACTTGATTCTGTCTCGTCTGTAACATGAGGGAGTAAACAACATCTCTTGAATAGTCCCCATTCCATGGCACTGTGGAATTTCTCACACTGAACAAATTAGATATTTAGATTAAATGCCTCTAAGGCAAAGTGAGTAACGGGGAGCCAGGAAGGCCTGACTCAGCAAAAACCCAGTGGGTTTTCAGAAATCACACAGTCTAAGTTGACTTCCCTCTGTGGCAAAGCTTTTGTTTTGAAGGTGTCTAGATAACTGTCATTCTTCAATGGCTGAGAATGCTGGTGTCTGACATGGTAGCTTGATCATAAATGGCATGGCTGAAACTTAACACATTCTGACAATTTCTGTTCATAGTCCCCCCTCTCCTCCAGGGGAACAGAGATGGGATGGGATAGTGAGGGCCACACAGCTCTATCCAAATAGTGGGCAAGAGGCATTGCTGAAGAAGTATGTGTTTGCTAAACGAAAGGTTTCGAAACTTTAAAGGTCAAAATCGGAATGATTTGGGGGCTTTGCATACATTGCTGACACAACTTTTCAGCACTGTTAACAGAGGGCACTCTGTGTAGCCCAGGCTGGCCTCCTATTCAGTGATCCTCCTAACTCAGTCTCCTGAGAGCTGGAATTATAAAAGCATGCGGCACTTCTAATGGTGTCCTGATCGTTTCCGTGTCTCATAATACCATTATAAACAAGGAAAGTCAGACACAATAAGCTTATAGATTACATTCTAAGATGTATTAGACCGAGGATTAGAACTGGGCTCTTGGTTGGCATGGAAGTAATTTATGCATGTAAAAATAAGAAATATAACATTCACTGCTTACTTATTTATTTAGCCAGACAGGGTTTCTCTGTGTAGGCACTCCCGGAACTCCAACTCTGTAGACCAGGCTGGCCTTAAACTCTGAGATCCGCCTGCCTCTCTCTGCCTCCCAGCAGCTGGGATTAAAGGTGTGCTCTACACGTCCGGCTTCATTGCTTCAGCTCCCACTCCAGGCGCTGCGGGCACAGCAGTCACGGGCTTGACTGATGGAGAGGGACCTGACAGCATGAATACTGGAGTGACATGTTTATAATAGTTTTTGTTCCTCAGTAACCAGCTGGGTTTACACATGGACCGTCTCAGGCTGTTTTATCCGAGATGTTAGGAGACTCTTGCCGTGGCTAACACTTTTCTTTCCCTGAAGTACCGCTTCCTTTTTGTTGATTTCATGTGAAAAACGTCAGAGTGCCAGCAGGCTCTGCCTACTGTGACATGACGCAGAACAGGGACGTTCACAGATGTGACTATACTAACACGGGAACCTCGTGTGGTCAGACACCCTGGGAAGTAGGTTGACCCTCAGTGGGTGTGGTCAGCCCTCATGATGCTGGGGTAGACAGAAGTTAGAGGAAGCACCATTTGACTGAGATCTAAAGCTGCGCCTACACTGAGCTGGCCTCTGCTTTTCCCTGCCAAGTACTAATGTTTTCACATCTTATTTTCAACTGTGTCCTGCTGCTGTTGCTACTGCTACTTGCAAGTAAGTCTGGGCCGGTAACTTTTCAGGTGGAGAAAGATGATTACACAGAGGGCAAGACAGAGATAGAGGAAGGGCATAGTGATGCTATTTCTAGCATATGTTCTAGCATATTTCATAGCATATGTTGGGAAGTAACCTAAATGTCAACAGTGGAGACCGGGTAAGTAAATTAGACATATCCATGAGAAAAGCAGGGAGACTAATTGAACAACCTGATACAGATGCTGGAAATCACAATGCTACAGACAGGACCAAGGTGCCCAATTATGTGTGTAAGCATTGCCAGGAGGCAGCAGTGTGTGGACATTTTTTAATGGTTGAGCTCCAGGAGGGGGAGCTGGGGGATGGGAAGAATCAGGAGAGGTGGTCCTGCTTTCATGCATCTTTTATGTGGTTTGAATACTTTATCATATAGGTGTGTGTGTGTGTGTGTGTGTGTGTTGTTATAAAGGAATTTAAACTTCAGTACAACATTTGAAGAATTTCAAATATGCAAGCTATCAGTTTTGTTTTGTCAGAACTTTTATCTCTGAGAGACAGAGAGAGAGAAAGAGAGAGAGAGAGAGAGAGAGAGAGAGAGAGAGAGAGAGAGAGATTGAGAATTAGGTTACCTTTCCTTTGCTAATGAATAGACAGCTAGCCCAGACAGGTGGGCCATTTTCCTGGCCAACAATTTTCATTTTTCTTAATGTTGATTCCATTAACCCAGGTTTTTTAATCTTCAAAAAACTGTTCACAGTTCTCTTTGAGGGCTGAAAAGTATATGTCTGTGACGGGGTAGGGGTGGGGATCAAGGACCCACAACACATGGGAACTTAGAGAGATGCAGGTTCTCATGTTCCTTCTCAGGAGGCAGGCACTTTAGGAAATGAGCAGAGGTTGCCCATGCTGGCCTCAAACTCACTGCAGTTTTGCCACAGACTCCTCAGTACAGGGATTAAAGACAGTCATCACCTTCTGGACAGTTAATTTATTTTTTGAGAGATGATTTCATCATGCAGGCTAGTTTGGGATCTTTCTCTCTCCACCTGCCAAGATCCCGGATTAGAGGCATGGGCAATCATAGTAAGTGTCTGAACAGACTCTCTGCTTCCTCTGCTGACGGAGAATCATTGGCATCATCAATCCTCCTCCTGACAGGGCAGCCAGAGTTCCCTCTTTAATTCTATGATGCATTACCAACAGAAATGGACCCACCCCCTCACCGTCTCGCCCTCCTTCCCTCTCTGTGTAGGGTCTTTGGAAGATGCAGTTATAGTTGAGGTCGGTAAGAATGCGTATCTGCCCTGCGACTACACTCTACCTGCCTATGGGACACCTGTGCCTGTGTGCTGGGGCAAGGGACCCTGTCCTTGGTCACAGTGTGTCAACTGGGTCCTTGGCACTGATGAAAGAAATGTGACATATCAGAAATCCAGAAGATACCAGCTAAAGGGGAATTTCCTCAAAGGAGATGTGTCCCTAACTATAGAGAATGTGACTCTAGCTGACCGTGGGACCTACTGCTGCCGGGTACAATTCCCTGGTCCAGGGAATGATAAAAAAGTAAACGTGAAATTAGACATCAGACCAGGTGAGTAGAACTTCGCATGTCCTCTTTGTCTATAAGAATCAACCGTGGGTCATGATATCATAATACATATATGGCTTATTATCACCTCTAGTTACAGTCCTGGGGGTGGCATGGGAAGGCCCAGGATGAAGAGGCCTCACCTCTGAAGGTCAATGATGTCCCTTCCATGTGCTTTTGTACTCAAGGAAGAAACCTAGAGAAGGGGAAGAAAGGCCTAGACCAGAGAGAAGTTCAAGACCCTGCCTGATCTTTAGATCACGTGGAAACTTCCTTTCTTTAAATTAATTTTTGCTCTAATTTTTTCATACTATACATTTTGATCATACTCTTTCCCCTCCTCCAACTCTCACCAGATTCTCCCCACCTTCCTACCCACACAACTTCATATTCTATGTCTTAGACACAGACCTCCACATACACACAAACAAAACCAAAAACCCTGCCAAAAGTCAAAACAGATGAGTAAAACCAAAATATGAAAAATATCAAACCTAAAAAGTGCCCTAAGTCAAATGGAGTCTGCCTTGGCAGGGAGCCTGCTCTTGGGTGTGGCTGGGATACCCAGTGACACTCCATTGGAGGACGCTGTACTGTCCCTTTCCCAGCTGGTGTCAATGCAAATAGCTTCTTGGTTAGGAGTAGGGATCCATGTCCACTTCCCCATCTCAGTGCCGGGATTTGTGCGGCTTGGGGCTTTGCATGTCTGTGAGCGCCGTTGTTGTCTCTGGGAGTTCATATGTGCAGCGGTCCTGTTTTGTCTGGAAGACTGCTTCCTTGGGTCCGTCTCCTACTTCTGAGTCTTGCTATCTTTCCACCTCCTTCCGGTGCCTGGGTCCCACCTGCAGAGCAGAGACATTGCCGTATCTGGAATAAATTCTGAATTTTCTTTTCTTTTTTCTTTCTTTCTTTCTTCTTCTTCTTTTTTTTTTTTTTTGGAAAAAACGTACTTCAGGTAAGTCAGGAATATAGGCCTCAGGTTCTACATGCATTTTAAGGAGGTGTATATGTGTATATCCTTATGTTTTAAAGTTTATAATACATAGGGTTAAGTATACAGCTCAGCAAAAAACAAAACAAAACAAAACAAAACAAAAAAACCCTTTGTGGCCATCAGGAACAGAGTTCAAATCAACTGTCCTTACTAATTGTGTAACACTGGAGCATTACTTCATGTGTGACCTCTTTAGCTGTACGATGTAGTCAGCTATCACTGAAAAGATTCTACAGGGTGATGTGTATGCAGAGTTTTAGTGTGACTTCTCACATGGCTGGTAGTTCCATCACTGGTTAGACTGGGGCGATGGCAACCACGCCCTGCTGCGGTTACACATCTGAGGTGGGTGCTATCTCTCTGTGAATGTGACCAGGCCGGTTTGAAGGTGAGGGCATCTCTCTCTTCATTTCTCATCTGTCACGTGTTCTCTGCTGCTCACAAAGCCTCACTCCTTGGCTCAGTGTGTAAGTTCACCTACTGCCAAGGCTGATCCCCTGAGTTTTGTCTTTGTAACCCACACGGTGAAAGGAGAGAACTAACCGAAAATCCTGATCCTTAATATTTTTTTTCCGACTCAAGCCAAGATCGCCCCAGTTGTCCCTGCTCGTGGATACCCTACTCCAACTTCTCCGAGAACCCTAACCACCAAGGGAGATGGCTCAGGTGAGACATGAGCACAGGCGTGTGTGTTTAGCTCGGATCTCAGAGTTTAGAATATGATAAATAGCTAAGAAAATCACTTTTCGCACTTGAAATATTGTTTGAGGTGAGTGAGGTGGTGGCCACACATGTTGGTCCCTGGGTTAGGATTCTGTAGAAGTCACAAACTAGCCAGGTGACCTGGGCCAAGGCCTTTCGGTTCCCTGGGGCTCTGGTTCCTCTTGTTGTCCAAGGGGCGTGGCACAGAGACCTCTGGTTTTCCTGTCTCAGGAAAAAATAACATTGCCCTCATGGAGAACTTGATTAGGATGTGCACAGGTGTTGCTACACAAAAAAAGAGAACCATCTACCATCACCGTCATTTCATTTAGAAAGAGAGTCATTTGAGGCTGTAGAGATGGTTCAACTATTAGAGAGTAAGGTTCACTGTCAACTTAAAGTTTTAATTTTATTACATTTTAATAAATTAATCTCTCTCTCTCTCTCTCTCATCATGTGCCATGGATGGCATGTGGAGATAAGAGAGAAACTTAGAGGCACCTGCTCTCTCCTTGCCCTGTGTGAGATGAGGGGACTGGACTCAGGTCTCAGGGAAGTGCCCTTAAATGTGGGGTCATCTTACTGGCATTTATTTAAAATTTAATTAAAAAACTTTTAATAAGAAATGATTCTATTTTGGCTAGATATTAAGTAAACTTAGTGTGAAGGATTATTGTTTTTGTTATTTTCTGATTTACTCTGGGCTGGCGCTGTTGCTTATATCTGGAATAAGGAATTGATTCGGTGAAATTCGGGCTCTTTCTAGCTGAATGCTGACCACCAGCTTCCTCAGATGTCAGCCGCATAAGGAGGAGCTCAGTTCTGTCTAGGGTCAAGGTTAAAAGCTGTCCCAGGAGACGAATGAGACAGAAGAAGTTGACCCCAGGGCACACCGATCAGGGAGGTTAATCTCATCTCATTTCTGGGTAGAATTCTGCTCTTAAACTCTATGAGGCTCTTTTTGTTTTTCTGAAATGGGAGAGGAATATAGGTTAAGTTCCCTCTCATTATGTCATATAACTCACAAGCTCTGACTTCTAGGATTTCAATAAGAAAATGAGTCCATAATGGTTAGTCCAGTGTCTGGTCACAGTCTGTTCTCAGGGTACATTAGCTCTTGTCACCAATGCTGTTAGTAGTGCCAGAAGGCAGACTGAGAAAATGGTTCGGTACTGCAGTGAGAGTAAATGGATTCTGAATTCAGTTCTCCTGGTCAGTTCTGGTCTCTGAAGTTTAGGTTTCGTGTGGCATGAGCAGAGTTCTCTAACATCCTGTTTCTGGCTTGGTGTGTTAGCGCAGCAGGTGAAGCCCCTTGCCACTAAAGCTGTCAACCTGGGTTAGATCCTAGGTCCCCAAATGGTGGAGAAGGATCCCCCAAAAATCTTCCTCTGACCTCCATATATACACCATAGCATGTCCCATGAGCACATACACACACTTACTTGTAGACACACATGCATACATGAGCATTAAGATAAAGTAAAACTCTGTTTCTTTATTTGAAAACGGCAAAATAGTGGTACATACATATATACTTACATCACGCACATATATTTATATATAATTATTTTATTTATATTTATATATTTTAATTATAACACACACACACACATATATATAATTAAGATTAGGGTCAGGCATGATGACACATGCCTTTAATTTTAGCACTTGGGAGGCAGAGGCAGAAGGATCTTTGTAAATTCCCATGCCAACTTGATCTATTTAGCAAGTTCCAGGACAGCCAAGGTTACTTAGAGAGACCCTGTCTCAAAAAAAGAAAGAAAGGAAGGAAAGAAAAAATGAAGGAAGGAAGGAAGGAAAAAAAAATCCAACCAAGTAACTATAAAAAAATTAATAGTGCTAAGAACCATTGCTGGCACCTCCGTGCCGAGTAGACAGTAACTGTGGCATCTATATACATTCATGGCCATTTTATTCCTCTTCCCTGCCACCTGTTTCTAGTGCAATCTTCAGTTCCCCAAGTAAAACAGAAAACGACATTACAGACATCTCTTGTTCTTGTTTACAGCGAAACAAAATGGAGGAGAAAAGTAAAGAGATCAGGGCTGGAGGTATTGCTTAACTGGCAGAGTCTATGTCTAGCCATGGAAGCCCTGAGTTTAATCCCCAGCAAGACATAAATCACACAAGCCTGCTATCCCTCACTCTGGAGGGGAAGGTAGGAGGATCTTCAGGAGTTCAAGGTCACCTGGCTACAGGTAGGGTTTGAAGGCAACCTGGACTACCTGAGACACAGTCTCAAAAAGGAAGAGAGAGACAGAGAGAAACAGACAGAGAGAGAGGGAGAGAGACACAGAGATATACACAGAGACAGACAGACACATACACAGAGGGAGAGAGAAAGAGAGAGAGAGAGAACAAGTCAGTCTTGCCACTTAGACCAAGAATCGCCATGATGGGGAAGCAGAAGTGACATTTCCATTTCAAATATTGCCTGTGATGAAGATTCCTGTTTACTCTGAAGTTCCACCCTGTGGTTTTCCTGCTTTAAGTTGCTTTCCCCCTAAATGATGTTAAGCCGAGTCCGTCTTTGCAATCTTTAAACCGCAGTCAGTTAGTTAGGCTCAGACTTGCTGAAAGCCTTTGAGCATCCTGAAGAATTTAGATTTAGAGGGTTCAGGAATGCGACAGACTTTTCACACTCTGGCTCAGGTGGCCAGATGAGTGGTTTTTCTTGGTTTTCTGGAGGCTGAGAGCTTCTTGCTTTCACAGTGTCTGCAGGCTCTCCTCCTGTCTTGCTGGCGGCCCTGTCCCCTCTACCTGGTATAAATTAGTACAGCCATTGGCCAGATGAGCAGATGAAGAAGTAAATACACTCGAAGGAGAGATGGAAGCTGGCAGATGAGCTACGTGACTCTCTTCATGTTGGTGACATTGTTGGGTGAAGTTGTTGAGGGCCTTGAAGTTACGAAAGTGGCTTTAAAGCCTTGTGAGCCTACAGGGGAAGGCATTCTTATTCATGAAGTAGGGCGTATCTCATTCTCAGATCCTTCCCTTGTCTAAAATGACTAACAACCTCTACTCTTTAGATCATATATTTTTAATTTATTTTTAAGTTTTGATTGGTGTCTATTCATTGTCTGTAGAACAGGTGTCCTAGAGACGTTTCTATTCAAGGCGGGTTATCCAGTCTGACAATATTCATCATTCTCTCCCTCTTCTCCCTACCCGTGCTACTGCACTTCCTTCTCAATATAACCTCACCTCTGTTTAACTCCATATGGATGATTTTATTCATCCATTCTAAACACTCCGACCAAAAACCCTTTGAGGAAGAAAGAGTTCATTTCAGCTACAAGTTTCCCAGGGATAGAGTTCATAATGCTTAGAAGGCATGATAGTAGGGTCAGGAAATAGAAAAACCACTTTATCTGTACACTGGAAATGGGGAGGGAGAGACAGAGAGAGACAGAGGAAGACAGAGACAGAGGGAGAGACAGAGAAAGACAGACAGAGAGAGACAGAAAGAGATGAAGACAGTGAGAAGAAATGGGGTGAGATTATACGCCCTCAGAACCCACCTCACAGTGACATACTTCCTCTAGCAAGGCTACACTTCCTAAAGGTTCCAATAATTTCCCCAAAATGTCACCACTGCCTGGGGCCCAAGCATGGGGAGTGGTGTAATTTCTCATCCAAACCACAGCAACATTTATATACCATCTAGTGTTCCCTAAAAAGAAAAAAACACAGTGTTTGTTTTTCTGAGTGTGTATGGGGGCTAATTTTATGATTGCCAGTTTACCATGGAGACCAAAAAATCGCCAGTTTCCTATAAATACCATACTTTCATTCTTCTTTGTGGTTGACCAATACTCCATTTTGTGTGTGTGTGTGTGTGTGCATGTGTGTGTGTACTATGTAATATTTTCTCTGTCCCTTCACGTGCTGATGGGCACCTAGGCTGACTCTGTAACTTGGCTCTTGTGACAAGCACAGTAATAAACACGGATGTGCAAGTTATCTCTGTGATGTGTTGGCTTAGAACCCTTGAACTGTTGCATCTTGTGGTAGTTCTATTTTTAGATTTTAGGGTTTTCTTTCTCTATTATTTATTTTTGAGGAACTCCTGTACTGATTTCCACAGAGACTGAATTAATTTACATGATCCAACAGTGTTAGGGGGTTCCGTTTTCCTCCTTACCCTAGCTAGCATTTGCTTATTTGTTTGTTTGCTTGTTTCTCTGTGTAGCGCTGGCTGTCCTGGAACTCACTCTATAGATCAGGCTGTCCTCTAACTCAAAGATATCTACCTGCCTCTGCCTTGGAAGTGCTGGGATTAAAGGCGTGGCCACCATCGCCTGTCCTTATTTATTTTCTTAATGTGGCCGTGCTGACTGAAATGACAGAATCTCACTGTTAGGCCAGCACTTTGCCACCAAGCCTGATGACTGAGTTTGGTTTCTGGAGCACACCTACATTCTGGAAGGAGAAATCTAAATCCTACAAGCTGTCCTCAGATACCCACAGGCATACCATGACATGTGAGTGCACACATGCACACACGCGCACACACACATTAAATAAATAAATAAATACATAAAATAGATTAACAAGAGTCTCTATGTAGCTTTAATTTTTTTCATTTTTATTAGCCAAGTGTATTTGTCTTTTCATGTAAGGGACAGACACTAATCCATTGTTCATTAAGTTTTTTGTTGTTTTGTTAATTAGCTTTGACATTTTCTTTTTTTATATATTCTAGATATCAATCCTGTGAACTATATAGCTAGCAAAGATTACCTCTCATTCTGTCTTCTTTCTCTTCATTATAGAAACTTTCTATTTCGTGCAATCTCATCTGTCAGTTCTTGGTTTTATTACTATGATTGGAGGCCTTTTGAGAAAATTTTGTCTATACTGGTATCTGGAAGTATTTCCCTGGACGTTTTGAAGATTCACTTGTTATGTTAAGCTCTTGGACCCATTTTGAGTTGATTTTTGTACTGAATAAGAAATAAAGATCCGGTTTTGTCTTTTCACACGGAGAAAGCCAGTTTTCCCAGCCTCATTCACTAAGGAGGCTGTCTGTTCCCCCAGTGCGTGTGCTGGACATGGTTGTCAAAACTCCAGCTGTCTGTAGCTGCATGGCTTTGTTTGTTAGCCCTGCATCCTATTCAATTGAGCTACCTGCCTGTTTTGTGTTAGTTCAGTATTGCTTATCATGGGTCTCCATAAACAACTTGGGATCATGATTGCTAATCTCTTAGAGGTCTTTATAAGTTTGGGGATTGTTTTTCCATTGCTGAGAAGAATGAGATTTTGGTGGTTAGGTTTGTAGGGAACCTGTACCCTGTTTTGGGTAAGATAGATATTTTCATATTACTTCTGCTGCTCTATGAGAAGTCTTTCTGCATTCTGGTGGTTCCTTCACTTTCTTTGAAAATATTGATTATAGAGTTCTTTTACTTCCTTGGTAAGGTTTATGCATTTTAGTTTTGTTAAAAAAAGATTTATTTATATTTATTTTACGTGTGTAAGAGCTTTGCTAACATAGCTGTAAGTTCACTGCTTGCATGTCTGGTGTGAATGGAGGCTAGATGCAGGCTTCAGATCCTTTCCAACTAGAGTTATGGAAGATCATGAGCCACCACGTGGGTGCTGGAAATCAAACCCAGAACCTCCGCAAGAGCCGCAAGTGCTCTTAAGCCATCTCTCCTGCCCCTGTGTTATTTTGTTTTTAAAGACAGTGTCCTACTGTGTAGCCCTGGCTGTTCTGGAACTCACAGTATAGGTCGGAAGGGCTTGAACCCATAGAGATATCAAGCATGATTAATAAAGTGCAGAGACAGATATTGGAGTTCAATGAAGACCAGCAAAGCAAAGCAGCCAGCTACTAACTCTTACCTCGACCTCAGTCCAAAAATAGTGATTCTGCCTTCAGGAAACCCCAGAATGAGACTCTGACTGAGAGCTGTTGTGGAGGTTGCCGTTCCACGCCACCCACCTCCCACGAGTTCTATATTGTCCTAGGGGTTAAAACACAAGATGCACACACAGATACAGAGTTCGAGTCATCTTCAAGAAGAGAATGCCCAATTTATTCAACTTAATCCAGGGTTAAATACTTTTGGCCCCAGTAAAGAAAAACTCCTCCCACCCAGAGGGGGCTGGGGAAACTGGCGCCTGTGAGAGCTTCTCCCCAGGCAGGTGGTCGAGGGTGCAAGGCAGTGTCAGACAGGGTAGATGGGCCTTGGTGCCTGAGCTTCTTTCAGGCAGGTTGAGAAATTACCATTTTAAAGTAAAATAGACCCCTTAGGCTATTGTACCAGGCTGTAGCAGAAGCAAGCATGAAACTTAGCAGGAAGCTTAGCTGGTTAGTAAACATTACTTGCATCCTGTGTTTTGGCCTCAAGGAACAGGGAGGACAGGGCCTCACAAACTGTCTCCTCCCATTTTATAATCTTCTCTAGTTCTGGGATTAAGGGCGTGCACCACTACTGCCTGGTTGGTTTTTATGGCAAACTAGTGTGGTTACTGGGATTAAAGGTGTGTGTCATTGCTGCCTGGTCTGTAAGACTGGCCAGTGTGGCTGTTTTACTTTTCTGATCTTCAGGCAAGCTTTATTTATTAAAATACAAATGAAATGCCACTACAGAGACCCGCCTACCTCTGCTTTCCAAATGCTGGGAATAAAGGTGTGTGCCACTACACCAAGACAGTGTATTTTATTTTTCGAAGCTATTGTTAATGGATTGTTTTCCTGATTTCTTTTTCATCCAGTTTGTTGTTGGCATGTCAGAAAGCCATGCATTTTGTATATGGATTATGTATCTACAGCTTGCTGAGAGCATCAGCTCTAAGAATGTTCTGGTTCAGGCTTCAGTATTTCTTACATACACTATTGTGTTATCTGCAAATAGGAATATGTTGACTCCATTTTCAAATCCTATTCCTTTTGTTTCTTTTCCCTTTTCTTATTGTTCTAGCTAGGACTTGAAACATTATATTGAATAGTAATGGAGAAAGTAGACACCCTTTTCCAATTTCCGATTTTAGTTGAATGTTTTTTGAGTTTCTTCATTTATTACAATGTTGGCTGCAGGGTTTGTTGCACATAAACTTTATACTGAGGTATGTTCCTTCTCAAAGAGTTCTTTCTTTTTCCCTTGAAACAGAGTCCCATGTAGCTCAGGCTGTTCTCAAGCTTGCTATGTAGTCAGTGATGACCTTGAACTCCTGTCTCCTGAGTTCTGGGATCACAGGCACGGGCCATCATACTTAATTTATGCAGTGTTTGTGAGCAGACATGGGGTTTCTGTAAGTGCTAGGCATGTACTCTTTATCAACTGAGCAGCTCCTTCCACAGCCCCGGTGCCGAGGCATGTCCCTTCTAGTCCTAGTTTCTTCTCAGCTTCTTTTTAGCATAAAGGCATGCTAAACTTTGTCACCGGCCCTTCCTGAGCCTACTAAAAATGATCATCTGATTTTTGTCCTTAAATCTCTTTATGTGTACTGTGCCACGTCTTTGCCCAGCTCCAGGGACTTGGCTACTTACTGAAGTGGAGGGGAAATGAAGAAATGACAAAGACATAGACACGCAGAAAAGCTGGGATTGGGTGCACAGGGTTCTTGGATGGGGGAGCCTCAGCACCTGGGAAGCTCAGCATGTTTCTTATATAGAGTTGAAGAGGGAGGTGGGGCTATTGCATATGACTGAACAAGGAAGCAGGTTTTGCTAATCTGGGTAGAAGCAAGATCTGGAGGAGAGCTTTGGGCTGTGAACATCAGGCTGGGAGGAGGCTAAGGAGGATATTTTCTGAACACACCATCAACAATCATACTTGAATCCCTGAGGAAGGCTTTGGCAGCCCTGTGCCTCTTCCAAGGAAGGCTTTGTCACTCCCATGGGGCTGAGGCACTGGAGGAGCCCTTGACATTGCTGGACCCATGTTAACCGCACACATTCACTCAGGGCTTCCTTCACTGCCCTCAATGTACAATATTCAATCTTAGTCAAAAGTCCAGGGAAGCCATTTAATCTATTTATATGACTTATTATTATTATTGATTTACATATGCTGAACCATCCCTGCTTCTGTCGGTGAAAGCATTTTGATTACATTCGAGGTTTTTTTTAAATTATTGAATTTGGTTTTCTAGTTGTTTGTTGTTACTGTTGTTTTTGAGGCAAGGTTTCACTGTGTTGCCATGGCTCACTGGCCTGGAAGGTTTGCAGATATTTTATTGATGATTATTTTTGGAGTAATTTTCATCAGTAAGATTGACCTTCTGTTGCTGTTATGTCCTTTTCTGGTTTTGGTACCAGACTAGCCAAAATTAGCTCTCTACAATGATCTTGAGAGCAATTCTTCCATCTATATAGCTCATGAAATAATACAAGGAACATGGTTTTAGCTTTTTTATTTTATTTTTATCTTTTTTTTTTTTTACAAAGGTTTGGTGGAATTTAGCAGTGAAAACATCTGGGCTCTATTTAGTTGGATTAAAAAATTATCGCTTCTATTTCATTGTTTGCTATAAATCTGAAGTTGTTAAAGATTCTCTTGGTTTAGTTTTGGTCATATGTGTCTAGAAACCAGTTCGTTATTTTTGATGCTCAGTTTAGGTGGAATGTCTGTCTAAGGAGGTCATAATGATTTTCTAAATGCTGTGTTTTAGCAGTTGTAATGCCTCCCTTTTCCCCTCTAATTTTATGGATTTGGGTCTTTTTGTTTTCTCTTTTGGTTAATTTGGCCAAGAGTTTTCTGATTTTGTCCATCTTTCCATTGTTTTTATTTGTACTGGCACTATTTCCTACCCCAACGTCTGTTGTTTCCAGACGTTATGTTTAGGTTTAGTGGTTCTTGTTTTTCTAAGAACTTGAAGTTTCTCTGATGTTTTAAACGTTGACCTCTATGTAGCTAAAGCTTCCCTCTTCCCTCTAAAGCACATTCACTCCATTCTGCAGGCTATGCTATAATTCATTTTCAGTCAATTCGAGGAATTTGTGAATTTCCCTCCCAGTTTCTTTGATGACACATTCATGACTCAGTCACTCATTTTCTCCGAGTCTGTGTTTTTAGGGACAATTCTTTTCATACTGAACGAGATAGTTCCTTAAAAGTGTTTGGCAAAATGCCTGACCCCTGGTAAACCGTAGCGATTGTTTCCATTTGAAAACAGCTAACTAAATACCGTGGCAAAGAATAAATGTTAAACTTTTTCCAGAGATTTGTGTCTTTGAAAGTCTAATTAGACTATGACCGAATGATATCAATATTACTTGTGGTGGGAGAGAAGGTTTATTGTAGATAGGAGGGAGAGCTTGCCAGAGGCAAAGACATCTGGGAGAGTCCAGAGTGGATGTGACCCTGAGTAGGACCACGTGAGGAGATGGGGGAGGAGAGGAGAAAGCCAGGAGACCAGGAAACTATGAGGCCACGGGAATAATGGGTAAAAAAGAAATGGCATAGCCCAAAGGGTTGGATTATATAGGGAAGGGCAACCCAGCTCCTGGACTAGAGAGTTCAGGGTAGGGGGTGGGGTATGCCTGCCATACCTTGTAACCTATAGGGACTGAGGGATGCTGGGAGAACTTGGCAGCCAGGTGAGCTTTGGTATGTTAAATCAGCACCTCAACCATTTGTCCTGGATTTAAGACCTAAGGGATAAAGAAGTTGATTATCTGTGTGGAAGGACATCACCCTGAGATTGGTTTGTATGCATTCAGTGTCTTTTGTTGGTCTTCTAATTATTGTGGAGCATAGGGAGACAAATTAGTAGTAACATGATTGCTAGTATGTTTAACTTTTTTCTTTGATCTGGAGTTAAAAACCATTCTTAACTATTGTCTACTTCCTCCCCTTTGTATATGTGTGTGACAGAGACACAGACTCTGGGGACCCTCCAGGATAAAAACCTAACGGTAAGTGACTTTGGTGTATGTGCTAACATTATGATCAGTTGTAGACTTCCTCCAGGCCACCCCTTTGGTGGGAAAGCTTGTGCCTTTCTTGGCTTCACACTCTGTGGCTTTCATGTCTTGACAGGTCTGACCATGTAGGCCTGTTATTGATAGAAGTTGGGTGTGAGTGTGAGATTTCTGGCACGTGTTAAGTGTGGAAAACCCCCCAAAAGAAAGAAACGTTTCATCTGTCTTTGCAAATGCCACTGCTATGTGTCACTGTGAAAGGTCCCTTGCCTTTCTTTTCAGGTTTTCCACTTCGAGCTTGTTGTGGCTTTGAGACAAGGTGTCAAGTAGCCCAGGCTGGTCCTAAACTTATTATGTAGCTAAGAAAGATAACGAACTCCCCATCTTCCTACCTCCTCCTCCACAGGGCTGGGGTGTCCAGCTTGTATTTTGCATTTTTTTAAAATTAATTTTTATGTAACAAGACATGACTCAGGAATACCCAGAGGCAAGAATTTATGTCCTGAACTACATGGGAAAAAAAAACACTAAAAAGCCAGCTAGCAGTAGCAACTTCAATGACTGGACATCGAGTTTCTCAGTGGATAAAGGCACTTGCCCCACAGCCTGACGACCTGAGTGTGATTCTTAGAACTCATGGTGGAAGGGGAAGACCTGACTCCTGAGAATGGTCCTCTAATCACCACGTACCACGGCATGGATGCATATGTATGCATGTGCACACACAAACCAATAATAAATAGGTAAGAATAATAAAACCAACTCTTTAAGGCTGTGTTTAGAGACCTGCATTCATCTAATTCAGTCCCTTGTTTGTGTGCTCACAGCCAGTGCCTGGCATCTTGTGTGCTTGTCTGTCTCCCCTCTTTGAGATAGAGAGCACCTTTAGAACCTCTGGTGCCCCAAGTGCTTAACACATAGGGCTTGTACACAGGCATCTTGCTTTTGCAGAAGTCACGTGTAGTGATTAAATGGAGGATTTAACCTCTGAGATTTTTTTGCTTTCGTTGTTTATGATTGGATTGTTTTTAAACGTAGTTTTTATTTAGTCTCAGGTTATTTTGTTCACAAATACAGTGTATTTCAATAAGATTCACTTCATCCCCCCTCCAACTCCTCCTAGATCCCTCTCATGTCTTCTCCATGTTCGTGTCTTCTTCTTGTTCATAACCTACTGAGTCTAATTAGTTTCCATATATACATGAGAGCTTTGGGTCTTTTTGAAATGGGGTCTCGATCTGTAGCCCAGGCTGGCCTCAATTTGCTTCTTTCCAGCCCTAGCCTCCTGAGTCCTAGGATTATGTATGTACGTTCACCACTATGGTTGGGAGGCTTATTTTATTTTAAAGTGTCTTTACTATGACTACCTTTGAAGGTGGGATGTGGACTTAAGTTTAGAAGTAGAAGGATGTTCTCTGTGACTCCTTGGTATCAGAACTAAAAGAAATAGCAGTAGTGTTTACCACTGAGGGAGTGCTCGTAAAGAAACAGGCACCATGCTAAATTTCTCAATCACTCCACAGGGTCACTGAGCTCTTGGGGATGTGGGATTAGAGGTGAGGCCTGTGTGGTTGCAAAATCCTGGCTCTTGTAAAACTGCTTTTCTGTGTGAATGTTGGTTTCCCTGAAGGACTTCCGGAACTCCCTCCCTCTGAACACACAATTTTGAGGCAGTAGGATCCACAATCCAGCCTCTGTAGGGATGCGGGCAGGTGGGCTGCAGAGTGACTTCTATACCCCAAGCACGGGAGGGGGGGTGCTTTATCTCCTTGTTACCTGCAAACATTGAGTTAACCCATTTCATTCCTCTGCTGACTGGGGCTAGTCTAGTAGAGGACAGATCAAGGGAGGCTTCATCACTCCTCAGCAATCCTGAGAGCCTATAAAGAAGAGTGGTCCTCCTCTTGAATCGCGAGACTTGCTGAGCACATGACCAGTTTCTGGGCTTCTCAAGCTTGACTCCTGTTCTCTGTCCCCCAGCAAACTTCTACATGGACCGAGGAAATGAAGGACTCTGCAGAAACCATCAGAACGGCTGTGTATATTGGAGTAGGAGTCTCTGCTGGGCTGGCCCTGGCCCTCATCCTTGGTGTTTTATTCCTTAAATGTAAGTTGTGGGTGGTGCTTCTTTTACTTTCTGATAGAGAATGGTTACTATAGGAGCAGTGCAAACCTAGATAGAAATACAAGTTTTAAAGCAAACCTGAAGGACACTCACTTGTCCTTCCACACATTGCCCGTAACATCACCGATAACTGGTGATCTTTCAAACTTCTACCCATGTGGCAGGTAGACACTGTGCTAAATGTTTTACAGACATCTTAGTCATCAACGGTTATAAACTAGGCGGTACTATTCCTTCCCAGTCTAGGGCAGAGGGAAGTAAAGCTTGCTGAGAGCAGCTGAGTTCTCCAAGTTTCACTGTGAGCAAGGTCCAAGTCTAGACTTTCAAGTGGGGCAGACAACCAGAATGGCTATCTTTAGATCCAAAAGCTAATCTTGGGGCTGGTGTGATGGCTTAGTGGGTTAAGGTGCCTGTCACAAGCCTGATGCTCTGAGTTTGATCTGAGAGACCCACGTGGTGGAAGAAGATAATGAATTTCTTCTCTCAGACTGTCCTCTGGCCTTATGTGAGTTGAAACATTTGGGTACCTCTCCTTTCTGCTCTTCCCCTCTCCTTCTTTCCCCTCCCCTCCCTTTGTCTCATCTCTCCCCCTCCCTACCCCAGTCCTTTCTTCTCTCTGTCTCTCTCTCACTCACTGAAAGAGCTACTCTATTTAAAATATAAATATACCCATGCTTATTAGGAAGCCCAACAATATAACCTCTCTCTGTGGGTTTCTATATTGCTTTCTCAGGCGCCTCCCTTTAACACTGAACCATGCCTGGGCTTCCAGACTGGGGTTTCTCCTCACAGTGCTCAGCAATAGAGCTATTTGTCTTTATTTAAATAGACAACTCGGGGTCTGGGCATGTAGTGCAGTTGTTAACGTATTTTTGTGGCATACAGGAAACACAAGAACCCCATAAAAGAAGGTATGGGGGTGTACTGTAAGTTCTGTAATCACAGAACTCTCTGGAGGTAGAAGCAGGAGGATAAGAAGTACAAGGCCATCGTCAGCTACACACTGAGTTCCAGGCCAGGGTGGGCTGCAGGAGACCCTGTTTCAGGGGAAAAGGTTTTTTTCAGTTTGGTTATTGTACTTGGAGGCCATTGTCACATTAAAGATCCAAATGTTCCCATAAGTCCAAAGCCTTCCACCATTTCATAATTGTGATATAGTCTCTCTGAGAGCTGAGAAGAAGGCGTTTCACCAGAGTGTAATGCATTATAACACCCTTTGTAAATGAAGACTGCACTTTGTTTCTCGGCTTCCCAGGCCCAAATAATCACACAGAAACCATATTAATTACAACGTCATTTGGCCTATTAACCCAGGCTTCTTTTTAAATAACCCTTACAACTTAAATTAATCCATCTCTATTAGTCTATGTATTGCCTCGTGACTGTGGTGTTTCCTCATTTTCAACATGTCTTGTTCCCTCAGTGACGGGCCAGAGTCTGCTTGACTCCACCTACTCTCTCTCTATCTCTGAATTTCCTGCCTGCCTTTACTCTGCTAAGTCACTGGCCAAAGCAACTTCTTTATTAACCAGTGGTAATAAAACATATTCACAGCATATAGAGGAGAATCCCACATCAAGCCTTTCTCCTGAACACACGACAGGGACTATCTATGTCAGGTCATTAGCCATCTCAGATTTTCACAAGGCTGAAGGAAGTTCCTAAAATGTGGAACTTCCATTGGTAAAACTGGGCCCATCTGAGAAAAACCAGGATTGCTCGGTCACCCTTACCGGGAACTTAAGTTGCCGAGGACTTTAAAGATGTTAGGTCCTTTAACTATGATATTAAATACAAAATATACTAGGACGATTGATACCTGGCTGGACAACCAGCATGCTGATGTGTTAATATGTTCAAATCCATACAGTTAATTGATGAATATAGGATTGAAATCAGCCTAATTTCTCCTGATTGATTTTCTACTTCTTGGTAAATGGGCTTTCCCAAGAAAGAAACAACCCCATATCCACTCACACGAGCTCGCCCAGAGGCTGCAGGAAACAGTGGGGACTGCTCAGTTGAACATGAGATCTGGAGACTGCTAAATGATCACAGCAGAAATAATAACTTGTGCTACGTTTTGAGTTCTTCCGGGACCTAGAAATTAGGGGCTTTTGTAATTTATGTAAAAGGTAAGAAGTTAGGTGGGTAGTCCTCCCTTGGAGTCCCTCCCCATGTTGGGAGTTATTTCTCTCTTCTGCTGAATAAGCCTATGCTCAATTCTTGTCTTTAAAAGAGGCATGGATGGAATCTAATGCACATATAACTCCTAACTTTCAGTGCACACGGGTTCCACATCTCTGGACTCAACCATAAAGTCAAAAATAATTGAAAATTATTTAGCCTTAACATGTATAGACATTTTAGTCCCCCAAAGAAAGAAGCAGCTATTTAAGTATAATGTTTATATCATGCTAGTTGTTACACGCTGCCTTGAGGTCCTTTAAAGTGTGTGATAGAATGTGACAGGTATTAATGGTGTTTTATATAAGGCACTTGAACACACTTTGGTGTTTGTAGGAGTTCCTTGATCAGCCACAGTGGATTTAGACGGGCAAGGGTCAACACAGAGGGTTGTTTTAAGGAATAGAACAAAATGTTCTGTTCAGTTTATAATTTTTTCCCCTAGATTTTGTGGGTAGCAATCTGACAGATGAGGTGGCCTGCTCTTAAGTCATGACATTAGAGCCACAAGCGGACCGGGAAGTGCCCATCAGTCCTCTGGCTTTCTGACTTAAATGATCACCCATGCTTCATTGCTTCTTAACCTCCTTCAACCCTCTCCCAACCAAGGAAACAGCAAAGGTCTGCTCCCTGTGCCAGTGTTTTCCTTCTGAACTGTCCTTCTCACTTCAATCCTTAAAGTGCCACAGACATAATTTTAGTCAGTCCCAAATTGCTTCCATTTTACTAGTGGTCACAGATAGCCTTGTCTTTGTTGTGGTTAGACTTTCTGCAATAATATCTATAAGGACAAAGAATCCATGCTTTGTCCTAAAATGTTCTCTTTTGGCTTTGGAAACACCATTTGTTGTATTTGACTGGCTGGCCCTTCCCATTGTTTACATGTTTCATCTGCTGCCTGGTGTTTGAAAGCTAAATTTCCTCAGGATTTGGCCTTTTACTCTTTGTGAAAAAAACGTTCTACTTTATACCATAAGTTCCATGGACTTAAATATTCACTGTAATCTTTTCAACTCTTAAAATGTTGATGCATCCTGTCTCTCTGTCCAGGTAATAGCTCCACTTTGAAGGTTCATACAGTCATGTCAGACACAAGGCTCCTGCTTCCAAATTCCACCCACCAGGACACAGCTGTCATGCCCTGGACATCTTCATTATTTCTCTCTCTCTCTCTCTCTCTCTCTCTCTCTCTCTCTCTCTCTCTATCTCTGGTTCCTTATGCCAGAAATGCAGAAGTCATCCCAGAATTTTTTTTCAACATCTCAATATGTAATCAGCATCAATTGCAGTCTCTGTGCAAAATAGATCTAAGACCGCTTCATTGTTCTGCATCTTGCTTGGTTATTGTTTTTTTTTTTTAATTTCTCCTTTTAATTAGTTCTCTACAGAGTAACCAGATCATACTGTCATTCAATGGTGACCTACCGACCTTGCTGTCTCATACTGTCCAAATTCTTTTTGTTGTTGTTTAGTTGGTTTGTTTGGTTGAGATGGATCTCATGGATTGCTTGCTTGACTGAACACTTGATCCTCCTACCTCCGCATCCCAAAGGCTGGGATTACAAGATAATAACTGAAAAGGCCTTTGGGGCCAAGCCTCAGCTTACCTCTTAGATTGTTGGGGGCCACTCTTTTGCTCTCATTATTGTTTTGGTTTTGACACCGACTCAGATCTCTGCTGAGAGTTCTCTGTTCCTGAAGTATTTGCCCTCGCTCTTGACATAGGTGACTCATTCTGTTCTTTCCGAACAGACCTCAAAAGTCGCACCTTAATGTGCTCGCCTAACCTTCTCTGGTTCTGGTTTAGTATGGTGCTGGTTTCATTTTATAACACAGTGCAATTTGAAATTATTTGTTTCTGTCCTTCCTCTCCTCCTTCCCTCCCTCCACTCTTTCTTCCCTCCTTCCTTCTTTCCTCACTCAGAGGTATGCTTCATGGAGTCAGAACTCACAACTCTCCCTGTGTGTCCTCGGTGCCTACAAAACTGCAATGCACACAGAATAGTCCTCACAATTTTTGTTAAGTAAGAGCTCCACATTCTTATTGTTAACATCATCCTAAGATTGCTAACAGGTTGATTTAGTTTGTTCTAAGGCAAGACCAAATGTCACCGAGCCGCTCTCATCTCCAACCTGTCTATTTTGTTTCTTCTTTCAAATTGTCTTAGAAAAGTATTCATTGGTTTTTCTTCCACCTTTACCCAGGGTATTCTTATAAGAAAAAGAAGTTACAGAATTCAAGGTAAGAACACAGAAGAGGGAAAAGGGTAATGGGGATCCCTACCATTTTATGATTTTAGTCTTCCTCCGAGAAGTTCCTATTGGAAGCTTTGAAATCTTAGGTTAGACTTCCTCTGTTTATGAAATGAAAATTCAATATTTGTCCTCCTGTACATTTAGCTTCCTCAGTTCCAAAGCTGATGTGTATAGTTGACCTTATTACTAAAAAAAATTTGTCTCTAGTTTCCAGTGAACTGCACCTCTAGCTGAGTGCTTACTATTTTCATGGTGTTACCAGAATGAGAGAGAAAAACAAACAAATAATAACAACAACAAAAATCAAGCCGCTATGGTCAGGGTTTTATAGCCCTGCCTAGGCATGTCCGGCTGTGGCAGTGTGTTAGGATGTACTGGGCACTAATCCTGCAGATACAGGACACACCTAAAGGAACTGAATCAGGATCTTGGGGGATGGAGCCCGAGATGGTATTGTTCTCAAAACTCTTCAGGTGATGCTCATCATTACTCCACTCCTGACTGTTTAGTTACACACACACACACACACACAGAAACAGAGACAGAGGCAGAGGGGGGGATCTTACAGTTTTAGTAGGATTCCATACATGAAAAATTGTAATGTATTTCAATGGAAAATATAATTATCTGCTGAATATAGAAACCACCTCTTAATTCAGAAATCAAAAATTTTCAGAATGTTCCAAAGACAAGGTAATATAAAGTGAAAAGTCATATAAATCCAAATATAGTATCAGTACCATTATGATTCATCAGAAGGGAAACTGGAAACATATTCACAGGTAATGCTGACAGGCATCAATTCGTTATCCATGAAATGATGTGCTCAGTACTTAGCTCGACCTGGGACTGTAAGCCTATTGCGAACTAGGAACTAGAACGCTGTGTTTGACTGCTGTAACTCCAGCACAGTTTCTAACAAGTACCAGTGATCAGCTCTAAGGAGCGAATGATCCAGTGCTCCCCTCATCAGCCCTGCTGCACAGTTCTCACTTCCCTTCCTAGAGTTGAGAGAACTCAGGCAGAGGGTTTACTAAGTTAGATATCTATGGATATATGTACGTTGTTCGCTGTTGGAGTCTCCAGATGCACAGGACAGTGCGTAACTGTCTTGAAGACACATGGGTAACGTGAGAATCAATAGAAGAGTATTTGGGAAGAGAAGGGGGCACAGGAGATATTGATGAGGTGTGTGAATATGGGCAAAGCACAGAATATATGACTGTGGAAAGGTTGTCATGAAACCCTTATTTTGTACAAAAGTACTAAAAACATTTAAAACCCCAACCATATGAGCAACCAACCACACACACACACACACACACACACACACACACACACACACAAACAAATGCGTTCACCCAAGTCATGCTGTTGGGTGTTGGGAAGAAACACAGAATTCCAGCTCAAGCCTGATTGGTTCCTATTCCTTTTCAAACTGTTGGAGTTCACAGAGGGTTGAAACAGCAGCGCAAGGGACATTAAAGCACGCTACCTTCAACTCCTAATCAACACTTGGAACACCTATGTTTTTCTCAGTACGCACAGGGCTTTCTCTCAACCACTTGTAAAGATGTTGCAGGCATCTTGACACATCCCAAACCCTTCAGCCTACAACTCTTAAGAACAGGGACTAGGGTTTACATAGCTAAGAAAATTAAGAGTAATTACATATCCTTAATTGTTCCCCAAATTACTGCCTGGGTTTCTCTCAGTGCGCACCCCAGTGCAGGGTCCTGAGTGTCAGTTGGCTGCTGTCCTCAGTGAAGACGGCTCCTTTAACTCTGTTCTCTGTTCTCTGGGAATTCTGTCAACAGCATTCTTTTATCTTCACAGCCTCATCACACTGGCCAACCTCCCTCCAGTGGGGCTAACGAATGCGGGAGCAGGCAGAAACCGGTCAGAGGAAAACATCTATACCATCGAGGAGAACATCTATGAAATAGAGAACGCCAATGAGTACTATTGCTACGTCACCAGCGGGCAGCCATCTTGACCACCCCTGGGCTCGCACTTTTTAAGGCTCCCCTTCATTTTCGACTTTGCTATTTTCCGTTTTGAAAACTATGAGATATAACACCTGAAGAGTTTGGGAGGTTCTGGCCACCAAGAAAAGTGTCCCTGTTTTCTAGGGATAATTAGCTCAGAAGGGGATTCAGCTGTAACCTATGCTATATGGAAATGCATCGTTACCTCTTGAGTTCCAGGGACAGGATCTTCCCCCAACCCAGAGAGTGCTAATCATGGATGCTGAAGCTCACATGTGCCTTCACCCATTAGGAATGCTTAGTCTGGTGTCTCTGGAGTACCTGGACATTCAGGATTGTGGTGTGTCCCCAAAACTCTTCAACAGGTCAGAGGAATGTTAGGCTAAGTAAGGTAGATAGGTGCAGGTCTGTGTGGATGCAGGAAATATGAAGTGGCCACTAATTTTTCTAGAGATTTCGGACTTTGACCGATTAAGAAAAAGTCAGGTGGCACAGGTGGCACATGCTTATAATTACATAACTTATGTCTGAGGAAAGAGGATCGTGAGTTCAAGGCCACCCTGGGCTCTGATGATAGACTTTGTTTTAAAAACAGAAGAGAAAAAAAAATCAAGCAAACACACAGGGAGGCTGGAAAGATGGTTCAGACAGTGAAGCGCTTGTGCAAGCATGAGGAGCCGGAGTCTGATCCCAGAACCCACACGGAAAAGCTAGGCGTGCTAAATGCATGTCTGTAAACTCAGAGATGGGGAAGTGGAGACAGAGCAGGTCCCTGTGGCTTGGTTGCCAGGCAGCTTAACCTTGTTGGTGAGTTCCAAGTCACTGAGAGCCCCTGTCTCGAAATAAGGTGGACGGTGTTCCTGAGGAAAAACAATGGAGGTTGCCCTCTGATCTTCCCACACACATTTGAATGTGCATACGCACATATGTGGTCACACATGAGATAAATAAAGAAAGGAAGGATGAGAACAGGACGAGACAGTAATTAAGGTTCTCTCTGGACCTTCTGCCTATATGCAATGTTGTATCTTTACACGACCCGCCCCCATCTCAGTCCCAACAACTTCTGAGTGGGAGCGTGGTGGTGCAGACCTGTCATTAATTCCAGCCCTCAGAAGGCTGAAGTAGGAGCATGGAGAGTTTGTGAGCATTCTGTGCTATGGGGCCAGACCCCCCTTCACAACAAGCAAAGGTTCCTCACGGGCCTGCTGACTGTAAAAGGAAACTCCCCTTGCCGAAGTCCAACCTTGGCGGTTGTGTGCTCAGAGGGAAGCACCTCTGACAACTTCTCCATTCCCAGAGGAAACTGGGGCTGTGTTTCTCACAGAAGAAGAACCAGCACCTGGGATGCTCATGCTGTTTCCTAATTGAAAGAAGGAAGAGTCCTGGCTGCAGTCTGTGTCGTCAGCCTCAGACCTTCCACTACAAGGACAGTGGTCACAAAGCCAAATTTCTAAGCTGGTGGAGATCCATTTTGTCTGGCTTATGATGGTCCATTCAGTGCCTTGGTTTGTGTTGGTTCCCATATGTAACAGAACCTAATTAAATAGCCCAGAGTCAAAAAATTAAATGAGCAGAAAGATAGCTTTGTCGAAAGAATTTTGCACTGGAGATCGGAAGATATTTGTCAAAGGGGACACACGTATCTGGCTGTTTGTACAAGTTTTTCTTGTATGGATTTTGTTGTTTAGGCTGCATCTAGCTAGTTATGAGAGGTACTGGCTTTCTCAGGAGGGTATGGAAGGGAGGCCAGCTGACAAAATTCAGTTAGAAGCAGCGGCTCTCATGCAGGTGAGGAAAGTAGTAGCAGATGTTTTTAAGTTATAGACTGCACTGGGGAGGGTTTTGAGCACATTTAAACCAACCCAGTGGTTTCCTCCATCAGCGTTCTTATTGGGCAAAGTCTTTAAGCAAGGGCATGGATCCAAAGATGATACTGTGCTGGTATTTGCAGGGGACTTTTGACATCAATAGGGGGATGGTTGATTACGTGGTGTGACAGTTTCTAAGGATTGCTAACTTGACAGGATCTAAACATAACCTTGGAGATGACTCTCTGGCCAAGTCTGTGAGGCATTTAAGGGAGTTGAGGTGGGTGGAGTCATTCCACCGGGCGGTGTCTTGAACTGCGTGAAAAGAGAAAGCAAACTTAGCACCAGCATCCGTCTCTTTCTGCTGATGCCATGTGACCAGCCCACTCTTGTTCCTACTAGCATGTCTCACCACCGTGATGGACCATGTCCTCTTGACTGACAAGTCAAAATGAACTCTTTCCTTTTAAAGAGGCTTTGGTCAGGTATTTCGTCATAGCAACTGGAAAGCTAACTAACACACATGGTATGGGTATGGTTTTAAAAAGAACCAGGTAGCTTTGCTTAGAGCTGATGCTCTTTCTCTTTCTCTCTCTCTCTCTCTCTCTCTCTCTCTCTCTCTCTCTCTCTCTCTCCCTTTCAGGGTTTTTTTTTTTTGGCTTTTGATTTGTGATAAGGTCTCACATATCCCAGGCTGCTCTTGAATTCACCAGGATGGCCTTGGACTCCTAATCCTTCTGCCTTTTTCTCCCAAGTGCTGTGTCTACCTTGCCCAGTGGCAAACACTTTTAAGTGGTTGCATTGTGCAGGCACTTTGGTACTGGGACAGTAGAATGAATCACATTTCTGGTCTTGTGAAAGTCTAATTGATCCAACAGGAGGAAGGATCTTATCTATTCATTCAGGAGATCTTTATTAGTGATTACTTCATGCTGGACACTGTTTAGTCTCTAGGGACAACAGGAAACACAATCAAAATCTCTACCACAGACTTTGTACTGTTGCCAGAAGATAATGCTACATTTTTAAGATAAGAAAGAAGGTCCTAGAATTTTATATTTCTCTGCTTAGCATATGGAAAAAATACCCAAATCAATAATGATACCATAGGTATTTCAGTTTTTCCTTTTACATACTTTACGAAAAATTGGAATATTTTTGTTTTTCTTTGTTTATAACAGTTAAATTAAGCATTATAATGATGTTCTCCCGTTTCTTGTCCTCATCAAAGAGAAATAGGTCAAGGTCAGGGCCACCAGAAGGTGGCAGCAAGTTGGATTTAGAACCCTTGGTTTTAGACCTGTGCCCACTTACTGTCACATGTTTGGGATGGAATTGGTGAGCGGCACAGGAAAAAATGAAGGACCAAAGGAGATAGTAGAAGAGGCCCAGGAAATGGCAAAGATGCAGCTTAACATCTTTGAAGGGAGAGGGCGGAGACATGGCGCGGTGGTTAAGAATGGCTACTGTGCATGCATGGACTAGAGTTTGGAACTCGGCTCCTGTGCAGTGAGACGGGGTCTACTGCATGCTTGCAGCCCTAGTAGAGAAGAGCAGAGATAAGAGGATGGCTGGAGCATCCTGGCTTCCAGCCTAGCAGAGAAGTAGGAGAATGGCTGATCATACAGTGTGATCGTTTTTGTTGATTTCTAACTTGACAGGTCTAAGTCACCTTGGAGAGGAAGCTCTGGCCATGTCTGTGAGGTGTTTTCTAGTTTAGGGGAATTGAGGTGGGAACACCTACCCTAGACGTGGGTGAGACCATTCCAAGTGCTGGTGTTCAGGGGCAGTCCCTGCTTCATGGAAACAGTAATAGAGGAGGACACAAGATTTCCTCTTCTAGTCTTTGTACATGTGCTTAGGCACATGTATTGCACACACATGTGCATGTATGCACACACACATACACACCACAACCTCAAATAAATCTTTAAAAATATAACACAAAATCCAATTCACAGAATATGAGAAATGTAAATAAATCAATATATAGATATGGAAATAAACCCAAGAGAGAGGAAGAGACAGGGCAGCCAAATTAAAAATGAATAAAAACAAGAAACCAAAACCAAAAAGGAAAAAGGGCTGGAGAATGACTAAGCATAGGTCTAGTGACCTGAGTTGGGTTTCTAAGCCCCTGTCAACTTCAGTTTGGTCCCTGGAACCATGGTGAAGGGAGTGAATGGACTCCTGAAAGTTGTCCTCCGATCTCTACAGTCCCACCGTGGCATTCATGAGCCTATGCTCACACATGGTCATCATATGTACACCATAAAATAAGTTAAATAAAGATGAAAAAATTCAAAGATTCTAACAAGTTCAAGCCTATCCGAGCTGCATGATACTTTATCTCAAAACAAAAACAAGAATACCCCCCCCCCAAAAAAAAGCAAAAAATCAAAGGCTGGCTCGATGCCTCAGCAGTTAAACACATTTGTTCTATAATTATGAGAGCTGAAATTCAGAACCCAGCATGCATGTAACAAACTGAGTGTCTTGCGCATGTCTATAACCTCATCTCTGATTGTGCATGTATGCGTCTTGACGGGGATCACCTGGCCTTGCTAGCTTCCAACACAGCAGAGCAAATTTGAGACCCAAATTCTTGGAAAGGCTCTACCTCAGAAAGAACAAACAGAGGGGGATAAAGGAGGTTACCCAGTGATGTCTTCTAGCCTTCACTCATGTGCACAGACACAATCATCACATATGTGCTCGTGCATGCACCCATACATACATACACACACACACACATACACACACACACACACACACACACACACACACACACCCCAGTAAATAGACAAATAAATAGTTTTAAAAATCAAATGGTTGTCGGCCAGTTGTAGTTGCCTACTATGCACAAACCCTGTGTTGAGTGCCAGCGCTGCATACACGAGGTATGGTGGAGCACTTCCAGAATCCCAGCCCTGTCCCAGGGGAGAGAGGAAGAGAGAGAGAGAGAGAAAGAAAGAGAGAGAGAGAGAGAGAGAGAGAGAGAGAGAGAGAGAATGTGTAACTTGCTCTTACAAGTCCTTAGGAGTTTCCTATTAGACCAGACAGGTTCTGAGAAGGGAGGTTTCCCTGCCCATGATTTATACATTTGAAATTCCCAAGACAGACATTGTAAGCTGTTCAATGGTTCTCCTGCTAACAGCAAGTCAGTTTATATGAATCATTTCCCCCCTTTAAAACAAATATAGCATGTGCTTGTAGAAATAGCTTGTTTCTATACAACTCATAATGGGATATATTCATTTCTAAGCTTATGACTCGAGTTCGAGAAACGTAGTCATTATATAATATCACTTCCAGCAACATCCAACATCACTATCAAACAGCAATAGGATTTGGTGACGCTCAAATGACTCTCATGCCTACTCCCAAAGGTGATTATCTATTGACTTACAGCAGAACCCAGTTAGACCCCAGATTTGTAGGCAAAAGGTCTGGATCCTTCTAGAGATGAACAGAGGTGCCCTAAAGTAGTCGTTCGAAGATCCTCCATCTTTCTGGTTTCAACTGAGAAGTGGGGAGAGCAGGAGGGAGGTGACCATTTTATCTTAGGATCATCAAGGCTGAGGAAAGCTTGGGTGTCAGTTGTTTTTCAGTGGGAGACCTGTACTAAGAGGAAGTATGAGTCAGAAGTGTTTCTTTCAGGCATCCAGATCCGCTGTGTCCTGTGTTAGCCCTGCCTAACGCCGTTATAAACAAAGGTCACGTAGGCTAGCAAATGACGCAGTGGGTAAAAGCACAGGCTGCTAAACCGGGTGACTTGAGTTTGAGTCCAGGGGTCCATTTGATGGAAGGAGAGGGCTGATTGCCCTAAGCTGTGCGCTGACCCCCACATGTGCCCTGTGATACACACATAAAATATATAAATAAATAAGTGTAAAAGTTATTTCAAGTCACTTAGTTCTTATGTGGTCAATCTCTTTTGTACATTTGTATCCTAACTTCTTCTGCTTATATAATTTTTTCTTCCAGAAAAAAAAATGAGGGTTTTTAAAAATGGGTTTTTACGTGTTTGTATTCAGTAATGAGGCATCAGATTAAAGTTGTTCATTATTTTAACATGATAATGGTAGGTGTGTCACCTTTAAATTATTTTATTATGGCTTTCTATATTAGTCTTATAATTTATAAATTGACAAGTTGTTGTTTGTAATTTCTACCTATTATTTGAACTTTGATCCTCTTTTTTTCTTTTCTTCTTGTTTTTGGTGTGCTTAGTTTTTTTTTGTTTTTTTGTTTGGTTTTTTTGTTTTGTTTTTTTGATGCAAGTCCTTGCTGTGTAGACTGGGCTGGACTGCAGTTTGCTTTGTGGTCCAGTTGGACCTCAGCTACTGTATTCCCTCTTCCTCTGCCTCCTGAGTGCTGGGTTCAGAAGCACGCCACACCACACTACGCCCTGTTCATTTCAAATCGTGCACACCCCTCCCAGGCTCGGCCTTCTCTGCTAAAGTCCCCTGGTCCCCCAAGGAATGACCCTTCACTTTGTTTTGTACTTCTAGACCAGCACTGTCCAGTAGAAGCACAATGGGAGGCTACATAGGTGAGTTTTGAACTTACAGTCAGATGTTTGTTTACTTCCTTTGGGTCAGCCACGAGGCAACCAAATACAGACAAAGTGGATATAGCTAACTTGTACCTGGTTATCACGTGGCTAGGCTGACCTTGAACTCAGAATGTAGTAGAAGGTGACCTTGAACTCTGGCTCTCCCTACCTCCACCTCCATTGTGGTGGTCCCGGTTGTACGTCACCAGGATGAC